ATATCAATTGTTTATTGTCGACTCTTCAGGATTACACTCATTGGCAAGGAAAAGTATGCCTAAAAGCTTTGATGACAACACTGAAGCGCCTGCTAAGAGAGGCAAAGTGCTCAACATGTTTTGAGCCTTGCTTCAGGGCTTAAGCGCGCCTTTGATAACACTGCCACCTTCTAATTTTCTTCCCTGAATAATTCGGTGGGAAATCTGGACAGGGATTAACATATCCCCTTACAGATTAGCATGCATTTATTTATTTTTGGTACAAAATTTTGTCTTTGCTCTATTTACCCTGTATAAAGCCATGCTTCTCTTACTTTTACAGGCATCAACTTACTTTTGAAGCTCTCCTCACCAGGAATAAACTTCAAAAGCCAGCAGCACCAGTGACTGATCCATCATTTTAACTCCTCCCCCACTCCCCAACCTCTTCTTCTCTAGAAACAGAAAGTGAGGAAGAGAAAAGGAAATCAGCCAAAGATCCCAAGTTTCAGCCACCGAGGAAAATGTCAGATCATATCCCAGAAGAACTGATGATCCAAATCCTCTCAAGGCTCCCACCAAAATCTCTTCTCAGGTTCAGGTGTGTATCAAAATCATGGAACTCTTTAATCTCAAGCCCTGAATTCATTAGGCAACACACTCAACAAGCGATTCTTTCAAAAAAACCTACACACAAAATTCTTAGATACTTCTCAATTCCTCAAAAGAAGGAACTTTATTCCGTTCGAGTCAATAATGCATCATTCAGTATTGACACCAACATAAACATACAATCCCCTTTCAATGACACAGTGAGGCATTATTTTAGGATCGTGGGCTCTTGCCACGGCATACTTTGTTTGTCTGATGATTTATTTGGATATTCACATGTTTTAGTACTATGGAACCCTGCAATAAACAGATGCCTCCGTCTCCCAATGCCTCCTCTTGATTGTAGTCAGATAGGGAGATATATGTTTGTGTTTGGCTTTGGCTTTGATATAAAAAGCAAAGATTACAAGGTTGTTAAGATGACCTATTCTCAAAGTCGAGGAGCATTTTTGCTGCCACCTAAAGTTGAAATTTTTTCACTTAGTCTGGGAATTTGGAAGCAACTTGATGGTTTTATTCCAGAGAGCTACATTGCGGAGTACTTTTATAAACAAGCTGTTGTTCATGGGAAAGTCCACTGGACTGGTTACAAAATCGATGTCGAAAGAAAAAGGATGAAGAATTTGATTCTGGCATTTGATTTAAGTGATGAGATTTTTGTGGAATTACAGTTACCAGAATGCTTGGTTATTGGCCCACCTATGAATCTGAATACAGCAAAGTTTGGGGAATCACTTGCTATATATCACTACGACAAGTGTGCTTGGACCCGGATTTGTTCAATTTGGGTAATGAAAGAGTATGGTGTTGTCGAGTCATGGAGCAAGGAATTCAATATCGTTCTTGACTGGGAACCTGGAATGATTCTGGGCTTTAGGAACAACAGTGAAATACTTTTGACAAGAAGAACAGGACAGCTTGTGTCTTATAATCTCGAGACACATGAAAAGATGAATTTTGATATCATTGGCACTAAAAACTCATTCTTTATGGGAACTTACGAGGAAAGCCTTGTTTTGCTCAATGAAGGAGAGCTACTGTTGCCAAATGATAATTCATCTGAGACCAACCAAGATGAATGCAAGGACTATGACATTGAGAACAGGAATGCTCAAATGAGTGATTTATGGTACCAACTTGTTATGCATCAGTATCTCACTACTGTTTTGGAAATCCCTCATATTTAAGCATTTGTTAGAATCACACCAAATAAATTGGATTTAGTTTATGTTTAGTTTACCATCTGTATTCATTGTGCTGTCGCATTATGTTTTTTGTTTATCAAAGCTATGTCCGACATGTTGATCCATTCCAGTTCTCATTCATCATTGGTATGTTTATTATGTTGGTCCAACCCAATTCTATGTATTGCTACTTTCATCAATCTCTATGACATTCCATGTGATTTTTAAACTTAGAATGATGTTAATCAAAGGTGAAGGCCTTAGCCACTGTATTGTAACTTTGTTGGGTTAAAACATAGGTTTGTATTTACAATGTTCGTATTTCAGATAAATCCAATAGCAAAATAGTGTCTACAAATCATAAAGCCAAGGCATCCAACAAGAAAACAAAGTTTTTTAGTTAAAAAAACAGGGCTTGCAAATCTAATTGTTGACCAAGTACATCAAAAATAAGTGATATACCCAAGTTGCATACTTTGTCCAATTTCTACCCGAGTAAGCTTCGTACTTAAGAATAAGATCTGTTCAAATCTCATTTTCCTTTTCCGTATCTCTTTGATATAACTGAAGCACACAAGAGGTCCAGGTGTTGCATTACGCTCTGATATGTAACCTTCCTTGAAAGCCCAAGGACACTTCTGCTTGATATTTTCTTCTCAAGACAAGCCCAAAAAACTCCCTCTCAAAATACTAATCTGGAAACATATTGAGACTGAGGAAAGCAGCAGAAACTAGGCCAAACCTTTCCATTTAATGTAATTGACAACATAGGATACACTTTCTTTGAGGCCACAGTGTGAAATTTGAAAGTTTTCAACAAAACGCTCTAAGAAAAGAGACTATGGAAATAAGTGACTGGTGCAGGCTCTTCAGACAACATCAATTGCAGCTACATACAGGATACAAGAAAGTAGTGCAGGAATGAATTATCACATAGCCTCACGAATGCTGATTATGGAGGAATATTATGAAAGTGACAAAAGAGTACAATAGCAACATCATGTTTAAAGTGGGAACGGAAATAAGATCAGCTTTTTGGGAATATGGGGGATATGGTGACCACACCCTTAAGATCAGCTTTTTGGAAGTATGGGTGACATGGCGACTATGCCCTTAACGATCCCGCTATCTTTACATATCTAGCTATAAAGATACGACAATTACTCAAGTATATAGGTACAAGACGGAAGAACTCTTTGGAGTTTGAGATTCAGAAGAGACTTATACGATTGGAAGATTGAGGGAGTTCCAAAATACATGAAAGGAACATCATAATGTAACAGCAATGTCAGACCAGGCTGCTTGGAAATGGAATGGGAGGAGAATGGAATTTTTGGTTAAGTCCCTCTACCACAGACTACTGAGGACATATTGTTCCATTACTTATCAGTATGGACTCTTAGGGGACGTTTGCTTCACATATTAGTTATGCATGAATTAAAATGTAAGGATTGCTTATGTGGTGATTAATAATGAAGGGATCGCTATGCGGCGATTAATAGTGAAAGGGATTATTGAACGGTGATTAATAGGAATGGATTGTTATACAAGAATTACATACTTTAAAAGCATTTGTCTGGTAAAAGTTTAATCCCCATATTGCTAATACACATATTCTTATTCCACATTCTATTTCGCGTAAAATAATCCATATATTCCCACATAAATTAATGTGGATATATTATTAATCCCATCAACCAAATGCTGCATTAAGTAATGCAGCAATTTTTTTTCTTATACAGCAACCAAATGCTGCATTAGTGAAGTGGAGTTTTCTTATGTGGCTAACCAAACACTGTATTATTTTATTTGGGATTTTATGTTGAGATTGATTATGCCAATACAATCGGCCAAACGACCCCTTAGAGACAAGGAAGGTTATTCTTTGCCATGGGCAGCAAGAAAGCAAAAATTTGAGGAAAGGAAAGTTAAGATATTTCAGTTAGTTTTGGCTGTGAAGCGATTGGGTAAAGATGAGAATCTTTAGTTTTGCTATTCAGTTCCGGTGGATAAAATCTGTTCGGAATACAGTAATCAATGCCGGATACAATTAAGGATGTGATGTTTTGGGAAAGAAGATGCAGAACATGACATGTAGTACCTTTGCCTATTACATGGAAACTTGGAGAAAAGAACATGAAATCTTGTGAAGGC